GTTTTTATCACAATTTTTTAAAAATCATAGGTATAATTTTTCAAAAATCAATTATTGTTAATATTTTTAATTACCGAAATTTACAGAAACCTGCTTTATTTTGAAAAACATTTTCGAAATTAATTAATAATTTCTAAATTATTAAAGAACTCAGAGAAATCCACCGTTTATAAATTCCTATCGATGAGTGATAAATTCTTTCTTAAATTGAATGTAATTTAATTGAATTTTAGTTTAAAAAATTATTTTTAATTCTAAGTTTTTTTATGTTTCTAATTAAATTCATTTAAAATTGAAATTTTACAAAGTTTTAAAATCAAAATCTTTTGAAGTTCAGCTACCTATGAAAATTATTGTAAACGCAATTCTTTTAAAATTGAATTCATTTTGAAATATTTAAGTGAAATTAAATTTCAAGAATAAACACAATAACTTTAGAAAACAATCTGGAAGGTTTAGAAAATTCCCTGACATTTCCAGGTTTTCTGGAAATATTGTTTTCTCAGTGTAAAGGAAGAAAGTCCAAAAATTCACACTAATCCGAAGCATGTAGATAAAAAAAAACACGAAACTGTTATTCACCTTCTGTTATATAAATTAAAAAGAAAAACGTCCCTTACAGTGAATCTCGAAAGGGAGTCATGCAACTTTTGGACGGGCCTAATCTTGTGACAGGAATCGTATACCCCGGGCACACAATAGCGTGCACTGTGTTCTAAAACGTGAAATGCTCTCTTGGGGTTTAGAAATGTGTGGTTGCTGATGGCGAATGGTAGTGCGGCAACCGAGAAGTTGTTGGTTAAGTTCAAGACAAGTAAGTTCGCGCCACATAAACTAAGGGTGAAAGATGCTCACCATCCCTTGTATAAAAGCAGCGTAAGGTTGCGTGTCTCATATGTTTCCCTTTCCTTAATTAAAGCTCGGTTAACTGACGAATATATTGCCAACACATACACACATTCACTCACACACACAACTTTTGTCCAGGCATTTAATAAATTAGAAAAGATTTTACGCTAAAAATATTTCCCTCCATAAACATTTAAGTTGTTGGAACAAGGTGAAAAGTTGCTTCAAGTAAAGCATACCCATTTATATTCACCGAATGCAACAAAAAGCTGTTTCGAAAGCATAATCACTGCAATTTCTCTCGACCTCCTTATTTGTTCTGTTAAATGGAAAAGAAAACTAGTAAGAAAAAAAAAATTTTTTTCTCTTACCTTAAGAAGATATAAAAGAAAAATTGCCTCCTATGACAAAAAAACGGAATATTTCTGTCTCAAAACATCTGCGACAAATGTTTTACAAAAAAAACATGAAAAACCCAAAAAGGGGATTAAAATAAATTTCTTCTAATAATTATTTCAACAAACATTGAGACGATTGAGAGAAAAAAACATTTGTAGGATAGTGTTGGTCTTTCGCTTCCCAACACTCCATCTAACGAGGACATTAAACGACTGTAAAATCGTCTCCCTTAATTTCCACGAAAATTTACAACCTTCCGTATATAGAGATACAGACACGAGAGAGAGAGAAAAAAAAGGAAATTCCAATCCTTTTTAGCCAATGTAATTATGATAATCACAGACACTAAATTCTACATTATTTACAATCGTGTAATTAAGCTTTTACTATGACTTTATTATTATAATAATAATAATAATAATGATAATAATAATTTGCACAACGATATTAATCTAAACTAGAAGTGAATTAAATGAAAAATGTCCAGATAACAATTATTATCAGAGGCAAGAAAAATGAATGAATCAAGAAAATGAATATTAATGAAGAAAACAGTTTGATGTTTTACAAATTATTCTAATGAGCCGCATTATCTAGAGCTGAATAATATCTCAACAAACTGAATGAAAGAGAACGAAATGAAAAGTCATAACACTTCTGACAAAAGCTAATTAAAAACACCCTCATTAATTTCTTCTATGTTGATAACAAAAAACAACACGATAATAAAAGGACAATAATGCAATACTGAATTAATAATTACTATTTCTAATTACAAACTTCAAAATAAAATCTCCTCAACTTATTTAATTCATAAATGTAAATAATAATAATTTCTTTAAATAGTAAATTATGTATCTAATTATTGAATTATTCATCTAATTAATTAATTGGTTAATATATTGTTTATCTAATTAATGCACTAATAATTTTACCGATTTTATCCAATAAGTTTATTTAATAATAAATTAATTATTTTATTCAATTTTTTTATTTAATAAATAAATTATTTACGTCATTAATAAATTGTTTATTTGACACGCTTTTGCTCTTTTCAAATTCCCTGACTTTTCCAGGTTTTTCAGGTTAAAAAACGGAATTTTTCTAAAATTTTCATCTAAAATTCTTCTTCAGATCATTTTTTTAAAAATTATTTTTGAAAAAGTTCTTTGAGAATTTTCCAATTCTTTTGATTACAATTTTATTTTATTAAATTTCGATTATTCTGACATTCCTCAATTAAATAGATTAGAAATTAAAAACTTTAAATAATTCAAAAAAAATTTCCATTAAATTTTTTGAAAAAAATTAATTCTATAAAATTTTTAATTAAAAGTATAAAAAGTTGAAATTTTCAAAGATTTTTAATTTCAAAAACCATTTAAAAATTCAATTATTTCTAAAAAAAATACACGCAATAATGCTTTCAATATTCAATTATAATCTAAAATTTTAACTAAAATTCATTTTTAAATCAATATTTATTAGAAAATTCTACGAGAATAAAATTATTTAACTACAAAAATAAATATTTTATTAAATAATTAAATGTTTCTTAAAATTGAATTTTCATACAGAATTTTATCAACAAAAGTTTAAAATAATTTAATTCTCTTGAGTAATTTTAATTTCTAATAAAATTTTTAAGAATAATTTCATTTTTCGAGAAATTTGATGAAAATTGTATTAAAAATAATTGAAATTCTGCCAAGAATTTTATTAGAATTTTTGAAAATAATTGAATTAAAAAGAGGAATTTTCTTTTTTTATAAAGATAATTGAAATTTTGACAAGAATTTTTGTAAATTTTTTAACATAATTGGATTTTTGTAACATAATTGGATACTTTTGTGAAATAATTGAATTCTTGAGATGAATTTTATTAAAATTTCATTGTAAATAATTGAATTATTTTTGTGAAATTTTATCGAAATAGTAGACATTGAAAATAATTGAATTTCGCCAAATTTTTGAAATTAATTAAATTTCTACGAAGAATTTTAACAAAAATTATTTTGAAAAAAATTTTATTGTTACAAAGAATTTCATTATTTATGAAAATAATTCAATTTTTTGAAGAAATTTAATTAAAAATGTATTGAAAATAATACTTAAATTGTAATAAATTAATTGTAGCAAATTTTTTTTAAATAATTGAATGTATTTGCTGAATTTTAATAAAATTTTAAAACATAATAACATTTTTCGAGGAATTCCATTAAAATTGTATTAAAAATTAAAAATAATTGAAAGTCTGTGATGAGTTGTAATTTATGTGTTTATGAAAATAATTGAATCCCTGTGAAAAATGTTATTATTTATAAAAATCATTGAATAATAATTTATAAAAAAATAATTTGTAAATAAATATTAAATTAGAAACCAACTTACCAATTTAAAAATTGTTTATCTAACTAATAAATTATTTATCTCATTAATTAATTTGTTTACCTAGTTAATGCATTTTTTATGTTTTTAACAAATTGCTTATCTAATTAACAAATTATTTATCTGAGTAGTTAATTATTTATGTTGTTAATGAATTTTTTATCTAATCAATAAATAATTAATTTAAATAAAAAATTAGTTTTCCAATTTAAGTATTAATTGTTTTATCCAAATTGTGTATCTAATTAATAAATTAATAGATTAATTATTTTATCCAACAAATTTATCAAAATCAAAATTAATAAATTTTTAATACAAATTTTAAATTGTTCATCTAATAAATAGATTATTTTTCCAGCTAATAAATTGGTGATCTTATTAATAAAGTATTTATATAACTATTAAATATTTTTCTAAATTTCTGATTAGAAAACTGATTTTAAGACCTCAAATTGTCTAATTTTCAATTTCAGTCCAAAAATAAGTTGAATTTAAGAAGGAATATGTTTTGAGCTGTAAGAACGTTAAGACTTTGTTTTACAGTGAATAAATAAATATGTTGTGAATTGTTTTTCAATTTGAAATTTATCACTAATCAGTTATTAATTACATTGATTTAAATCCCAATTGAATTTCATAATTGTTTAATAATTATATCATTGTTGTGATTAAATTTCCTCCCACCCCTATCAAAACTTGTTCATTAAAACTCTAAAAGTTGATGTAACTTTAAGAAATTCAATATGTACTTTGATGTCAAACGTAACAGTCGTTAAGTTCACTTGGCTTTCGTAGGTCTACAATCAAAATCAACCTATCCGATAATTAAACCTGGATCTAATTGGATTAGAACTGGTTCGAAGCCACTCAACGCGCAAAATTATCTTCAGATTCCTACAACCTATCTTCGGTCTTACTCGCGATAGTAGCTTACCTCAGTTTAAGTAAACTTTATTAATTCTTCATTATGATTCTTTTTTCTCCAAAGCAATTTGACACATATTAAAAATATCGCAAATTTGTAAAAAAAAAATTATCTTGATCACTAATAAATTATCAAAATATTAATTTTTCACTCCTCTACAGAGTTATTAATTTTTTACACTTCTTTAAATTTATTAATTTTTTACGCCTCTTCAAATATATTAATTATTTATCAATAGCGATGATAATTTCAACTCCAAAAAAATGACAGGCGTATGTAAAAAGAAAATATTTCCGCGATATATTTTCTTTTTGTTTGCAGTGCAAAATTTTTTTGTGCCATTTTTTTTGGTGCTTTTGATAAACGACCACAAATATAAATCAAAAATATAAGAGCAATTTGTAATAAATTATATAGAACTTTTTTTTTATTCACTCACCCTTGCCGTGCAACTGTTGTCGATTTGTATCAGCACGAAGATTCTCTGCAGTGTGAACCAATTCGTCTAATTGCGGCTTTTTTTGTTCCAACTCTCGAAGCACAGTCTGTAAAAAAAATGTTAAATTCACATTATTAAATGAAAAACTTAAATTTAATCAATTAAATTAGATATCATTCTTTGAATTAGTAAAAATGTGTATTAATTTGACTTTTTGTTTTTGAATTACTTAATTTTATGAATAGACAGTAATTTCGACTAATTTATTGTTAAAATTTACTAATTCAAAACACAAAAATCAGTCACTATCACTAATTCAAATTAATAAATATTTTTACTAATTCAAATTTAGAAAAAAAAATTAATTTACAAATCAAATAAATTAAATATCAAATTAAAATAAAAATCAAATAAATTCAATATCAAATTAAGTAATAAATTCAAAAACTAAATTAAAAAGCAAATAAATTAACTAAAAAATGAAATAAAAAAAGTACTATATTCTTTCTATATCAGATCATAAAGTATTGATAATTATCTGTCATATTAATCATAGTCAGAGTGTTTAAAAATTTAAAAAAAAACACGCAAGAAGTTGACATTATCGAGTATCTGATTAAAAATTTAAAACACTTTGTCCAATGAAAAATGCAGATATTTAAAATTTTTAATTTTCACTTCTGCGATATGAAGGATTTAATATTTCAGATTTGTAATATTTCTTACAATACATTTTCATTTCTTGTATAGAATACTTGAACAATTTTAAATAATTTAAAAAATTAATTTTTTAAATTTGAAAAAAAATGAAAAAAAGAGAGCAAAAAATGTTGAAAGTAAAAAATAGAGTAAAATTTTCATTTCCTTGAAATGAAATTTATGCTCTCAACATAAAGGTGTTTATGTGATATTGCGTGGTTGCCGACTATGATGACTGTGTCGATTGCCAGTTCCAGGTATATTTACATACCAACCACCAAGATCAAAAGTTCTCGTTACATAATTTTTTAACGTTTCAACTTTTTTTCTTTTGAAAAATTCTCTCTGTTAAAAAAAACTCAATTTTTGTATAATTACAGAAATTAACAATTATTTTCTATGTAACTAATTATTTGAGTATTATTTGAATGTATTATTAAATTAAACTCTAAATTCGAAATAGGAAGAAAAATGTTTACTAATTTGACAGAGTTACTGACTTTTTAATTTTGAATTAGTAAATTTTACTAATAAATTAGTAGAAATTACTATTAATTCACAAAATTTACTAATTAGGCAAAAAATAATTTCCTAATTCAAATTAGTAAACATTTTTACTATTTTTACTAACTTTACTATAATTTTACTACTAAACATTACTAGTATTGAAATTTAGAGAGGATTTAAAAAATTAACAGTAGGGGAACATAGTCTAGGTCGGCCACCTTTTTGACTTTTGTTTATAACTTTTTTTTAAAAATGAATTTGGACAATTGAAGTATATGGTTGGAAAGTCCTGTTTAATAGGAACATTTTTTCTGTACAAAGTAAATTGACAGGTTTAAAAATGAAAAAGTTATAAAGATTTAAAAAAAAAAAAATTTGTAGTCCAGGTTGGCTATTACAGTCAAGGTCGGCCATGTTTAAAATTCAAAGGGCATTAATCGTTAAAAAATAAAATAACATGTTTGGAGTTACGGAAAATTGATTCATTATTGTTTACAGTTTGTAACTTAATGAAATAACAAAATAATAACAATAAACAATATAAAAAAATAAATATAAATAAAAAAAAGTTTTGCACTAAAATATTAATAAAATTAAATAAAAATATTAATAAGATGATCAATTATATTATGAGTTATACAGAATTGCAGTTTTTGCAAATGAAGTAGCTCGTCCTCAACTTTGCGCATTTTAAACACATAGTGGCCGACCTTGACAGTAAGTAACATTACCGAATTGTTGTAACCATAAAGAAATACGTTTCGGGATTCGATTTTTTACTTTGTTTTTCTTTCAACCATGAGTCCCACAAATTTTCTGCATACTTGCCTTGACGATTCAATTTGTTTTTTATCTTTTATTAATGGTTTTTCACATGATGCACAAAACTTTTTTTCAGCTTTTTTTGTACCGACGTCACAGAAAACACAATTTTCGATTTTCCGAAAATGTAATTGAACAAAAAGTTAGGTTTCACTAAGACAAGCTTCGACAAAAATGCGCGTAGGTGGCGCTAGTGAACTTGACAAAAAAACGCGAGTGGCCTACCTAGACAGTAGGCCAACCTTGACTACATTCCCCTATATAAATATCGACTATAATATTTTCTTTTAAATGAATATCGAACGCTAATTTTTACGCGATAGTTCGTATTACGAAATTATAGGCGCAGATCTATGGAAAATCAGTAATCAACGCTAAACGAGGGAAACGAGCTAAAATCGCTGTCGATAACAAGAAAGAATTTCAAGAGCATTAAGAAATTCAGTGCAACAATCATACACTTTTAAATTTTTCTTTCTTTCTAATAAATATTTTAGTAATAATAATAAATAAATATTTTATTAACTATCGAAATTATTAAAATTAAAAATTTTTCGCCTTTAAAAGTTTGAAGTAAAATAATAAATTCCAAACAAAAAATTAATTAGAGTAAATAATTTTCCCTTTGAATATTACAAGTAAAATAATACTAGAAATTAATTTTAAAAAATTTAAACAATTTAAAATCTCCTCTAATGATATATAAAATAAAAATTTCTCATTTTCATGATATAGGAATGTTAAACAAAAAAGATAAGAAAAAAAAAATTATTTACTAATTATGAATAAATGAAGTCACACATAATTTAAAAGTTTTAATGTAACAGAATGCTTTTTATCCTTGCTCACAATATGAAATAAAAAAGAATTTGTTTTCCAATGGAAAAATATTATTTACCGAAAAAAGCTTTTAACTGAAAAATTTAATATATTTTAACAGTGAAATATTTCCTCTCTCCTGAACAGGAAACTTTGAACAATAATTAACAATTAATCGATATTCGAATAAAAACAGATAATATCAAGCGTATTGTTTAAATATTTTACAAACATAAAAAATCTGTGAGGATGGAAATATTAAAACTATTTAAAATTTTTTTTCACTTCTTTTTTTCCTTTTTTTATTTAAAACTGTTTTTTATTAATTTACCCTTATTTACCACTTGTCTAATTTAATTTTTTTAATTTTAATTTTTCGATTTTTTAATTTTAATTACATTTAAAATTTAATTAGAAATTTAAATTTCAGTTGCATTTAATTTAATTCGATTTATTTTGATTCAATATAAATTTATATATTTTTTTTATTATCAAATAAAAAATATATAAATAAATATAAATTTTAGTTCAATTCATAATCCCTTCATCTCTTTCCCAAGAAATTAAAACAAAATTCTCGACTTTTATGCCATTTAAAAAAAATTATTACCTTACTAAGTAAAAGTATGAAACCGAGTTATGGTGGAAGCAAACAAAAATGTCATTTGATTGTAGTTACCAAGAAAAAAAAGAGTTGGGAAATAAAAAAAAATGTGGTTTATGGCACGAAGTTTTAATGCTTTCTTTTGTGTTTATATAGTGTGGTTAAAAGAGATAGGATATTTTTTTAAAATAGATAAATAAACGGGAAAATACAAGGAAAAAAATTTTGCTCTTTCTGGTAATATTTTTATTTTTTGTTTTTAAAAGCAGCGACACAAAAACAAATGTTTTCTAATTCTGAAAATCTTGTTTATTCACTTGCATATATATTTATTAAAAAAAAAAAAAGAAAAGAAAAGCGAGTGAATTTTTATTTACTTACGTTGAAACGCAATTGCAACGTTCCCGAGTACATATGTGTCACTGAAGAGCAACTCTCATTCGAATCCATTTTTAGGAAAATTGCACTTTTTTATATATAACAATAACAATAAAGAATAATCCTATTATACACACTTTTAGAATATTTCACATATTTTTCCACTTTTCATTTGAATTTTTTGTATTTTCATTTCTGTTTATTTATATTTTCATTTTCTACTTAATAAAAAAATGCATTTCAGCAAATAAAGCAGGAAAATTTTTTTAAAAATTGAAGTAATTTAAGCAAAATTAAATAAATTCTATAATATTAAATAGACATTTTTTCTGTACCTATATTTTGAAATAAATAAATGAATAAAAAAAAATAAAAACTGATAAAAGCAAATAAAAGTAATACCTAATCACAATAAAATAATTATAAAATACTAATAAATAGTAATTTCCACTAATTTATTTATTTCTACTACTTCTTTTTTATTTAGCAGAAGTATATTCTTTATTTATTTTTTATTTCTATTCGCTATTTATTCATTTTATATTTTAATTTTTATTTATTTGTTATTCGAATTTTAACTTATTTTCTAATTTAATTTTTATTTACTCTCTCTCAAAATTTGAATTAGTAAAATTTACTAATTCAAAAGCAAAAAGTCTGTCTCCAATTTTAAATTAGTAAATTTTGCTAATAAATTTTTAGAAATTACTCTTTATTAGTAAAATTTACTAATTCGAAAGCAAAAATTCAGTCGCTAAGTTAAACTAGTAAATATTTTTACTAATTCATAGAATACATAATAAATACAGAAAATTGAAGAAATTAAAGTAAAGGAATTAGTAAATTAAAATAAAGACAAAAAAGAACAAGTGATTTTTCTTTGTAAAAGGAAAATTTGACAATTTAGAGACTAAATTTTTTTTATGAAATTGCAAACAAAGAACAATGATACATAGAGAAAGCAGAATCAAAGTTTTTTAAACGGATTTTAAAATCAAAACACAAATATAACGAAATGTAACAGACTTTAGCAAATAGAGAACATGTAAATGGAAAATTGTAACATTGCAGTAAGCTAATAATGTTTTTGTTCACGTGTCAATTAAATTACATATTGCTGCCATACATACGGGTTTTGCTCTATGCACCCGTATCAACTGATCCAATTTATGTTACGTCTGCCGATTACAGTGTGAATTTCGTTATAATTACATGCGCACAACATTTTCTCATATAATTACGAATAAAATTAATTTATACATATATACACACACTAA